ATTTTTTCTGGTTCACACTGTTCACCAAACACTATAAAGGGGGGGGGGGGGATGAAATGTCACAAAGGATTTAAACTTTCATACACGATTTTTAAAAATGCATATAAATACCAATCAGGATGATAAGTTTTACAATCCCTTAAAGCTTCTAAATTTTTCTTCGGAGTAAGTAGTAAGAGTAAGTATTTATTTATTTATGAAATATAACAAAAGCATATAAAATTAAGTGTTTCAAAAGAAAATATTTTAAAAACTCCAAAAATAGAGGTTGTGGGAATATTTCCCTACAATTCTGCGCAAATGATAAACATGCTTTACTTGGCCCCCCCCCCTGCCCTCCTCTTCACATTTCAATGCATCCACTTAACCCAATTTAATTTTATATACCCCCCCCCCCCTTCCACATATTTGATGGAGAGGCAAGATGCATAAAATATCTGTGAATTCTCACGCATTCAAGGAATCAATACTCGTACATTCAAATAAATATATATGTGTCCCAAAAATTCCCTAAGTTTAGGATATTCAAATTATAAAGTGTGTCCCAAAAATCCCCATTAGGGTTTCCAACTCAAGTAGATTTGACTTACGCGCAATTCCGCACTCAATTCAAGAACAGTCACGCGCGATTCCACGCAATTCTGCGCAACGGAATGCTATTAGAAATCCTAATCCCAATTTACATGATATTCAATTAAACTATCAAGCGTGTCTCAATAATCAAAATGTGCAGGATCTGAGGAATATTATTGATTGTGTCCCAAAACTCCAATGAACAGGATATTTAATTATACAGTGTGCAAACATTAACTCAGTGCAAAATATTAACAATTTCAAAATGTGTTTTAAAAATGTCAATGGTCAAGATATTCGCTCAGAGCGTGTCTAAAATATTTATATTTACAGGATGTAACAAAATATCAGGCTCAATCCAGAAAATGATGTGAAATTTTAAACACAAAAATCACAGCTGATATTTTTAAAAAAATGGTGCGTGTGGCACGAAAAAGTCGACTTAAAGAGTGCAGTTGACAAATAAGGAATCATATGTGTTATGTATTATGGAAAATGTTGGGTTAGGTGTTCCGTGGCGTTCCGGACTACAAAGGAGAGGAATTCTGAGCGCTGCGGCTAGGATATTGGGCCTCCATGTGTATTTTTCAATAAAATCTTTGTATTTTTTAGATGACTTTTTAAAAACATTTCATGATTCACCCATGTTTATTTCATCAGTTTTATTTTTTAAGTTTTTAAGTTTAGAGAGTGGAAAAATAGTGGGATGGGGGAATTTGAACAGGGACATTTCAATATTAATCTGCGATTTAAATGATTAAAATCGGGTTAAAAAGTATAAAATAAAAGTCCCATTTTAAAACAATCTATAACAACGTTATATAACTTATATTGTCGGCGTATTGTAATATGTTCTATGTATGATTTAAAACACAATGCAATTAATGTAATGTGTATTATGTAATATGTATTATTCAGAAATAGGAAATATACTGTAATGGATAATCATCATTAATAATATAATAATATGATAGGTTTTAGAATTTTATGGAATTTATATATTAACGTTTAACTAAATAACTAAATGAATACTGATTAAATAAATAAATTAATATATATTTATCTATTTTAATTGAATGAAAAATATACAACACACTTTAAAGCCTACTAGGGAATTAGGGCGCTTAGCGCCCCTCTTTCCTATTGACAATTTTAACGTTTAATTCAACTGTTGCTCTGAAAGTCGCCATTGTCAAAAGTTTTCAAACTTTTGCGAATTTTCTGTTGTTAAAATGTCGACAGTTTATTCCGGGTAAAATAATTCAACGTTGCCCAACCAAAACTGAGCCCAATCGGTTCATCCGTGCTTAATAGGTATAAGCACCTAGACAAACAAAGTATATGTAAAATAGAAGTAAAAATAGGAAAAATAAATAAATTAAGATCCCTTATATTCAGAACAAGAAATAAAAATAAAAATATAAATATCAGGAAGATAAGCAAACAAAATATTGGAAAGGGATAAATGTAAATATAGAGCAGCTGAAGTAAAATTCAAACTAAAACGCTGAACAGTGAACAATATTAAATAAAATTGGTTTTCATGAACAACGATCGAACAAAGAACCTAAGACATGTGGTTAAGGGTGCCAGGATCGGGGGGGGGGGTGAAGGACAAACCCCCAATCCCCTGCACTGCCCTGCTGAATGTACAGGAAACCCAATAAAAACCCTTTTCAGAACTTAATGTAGCGAAGCAAATTGTCTATAATGATAATCGTAGGTTCGATAGTCTACACACTCATCATAATATACATTATATATATAGTCTACACACTCATCATAATATACATTATATTTATATATATATATATTGCACAACAACGTTTGTTACACCAGATATACAATAACATTGTGCAAGAACACAAGTGAGTGTACAAAAAAAAATTGCAATTTTTGAGTTGCAAAATAATAAATTTGACTTTAACTAGAGACGGTTCAACCACGTATCTTACGTCGGTGATTCAGAATTTGTCCATGTCTTATAGATAAGCGCTACATATGAGTAGAGGTGAATCAGAGGACCTACCTCAAATTCATAAAACTCGGTCCCCATGAACACTCAAACTCAAATTCTAATCAGCTGCTCTTTTGAGATTTGGAATCTGATGTTCAATAGTTCAAAATAAGAACTCTGCTATATCAAAGATTGTCAAAGGTTCACTTCATCAGGTTGCAAAGATATTATATGATAAAATGGAAATGAATAAAAGAATGAGAGCTGAGATACTCTATGCAAAATCGGCAGATTTAGACAGAAGTGCCCTTTCAGAACATGATTCTAAAATGGGTATTGTGTGCACTAAGCATGGTGTTTGTCCATTTAAAGATTTTTAAAAACATTTTGAATGTTCCGGCATGAGCGAGTGTTTTTCTGTCCGTGTTTGTCTGTTTTTATTGCCATTTTGGGGGATTTTTTGTTTCAAGAGATTGTTTATTTTTCCGTTTTTGTAGATTAGTTTATGTGAAATTCCTAAAAACCCCCAATTGAAGACCCTTAAAGTATTTAGGTGTGAAGAAGGCGAAAAAATGGCACGAAACAATTTGTAATGCATAAAAACTTAATTTTCGCAATATAAGCTTTAATTGTACATTTGGCAAAAACTTACAATTTTAAATTACAAATATTTAAAGAAATTCCATTATATAAATATAAGATCATCTACATTCTTTGAAACTTTTCAACCATAAAATATAAATAATTTCTGCCTTCAAAAAAAAAAAAAAAAAAAATATCATTATACTCACATTCAAGAATAAATATTGTGAATTGTTGATGGGATCAAACAAATAAATTATCGTTCACTGCCCCTTTAAGTCTATATCCCCCCCCCCCTCCTCCGGGGTATAAAACATACTACATTGGCTGCACTTTTTACTATAAAAGTAGTCTTTATCTAAACAAAAAATGAAAATAACTCTTTTTGCTGCCAAATTCTTTTGAAAATTTAAACTTATGAACAGATGTATTCTTAGGTCCTTGAGACCCCCTAGAGGGTAGGGTAGGGGGTGGTGCTAACGCTGGGGGTGGGGGACTAAAAAAGGGGGCCATGCTGTGCGCTATCTGAAGATATAAAACCAAAGAATTCAATCAGATCTTTTCAACCAACAAATTTTAAGATCGGATTAAATGTTTTGCAGGGGAAACATTTTTTTCATTTGTTAAATCCAAACTGATGCATTCGTAGAAAAAATGAATTCATATAAAAAGAAATCCTTTTTTCCCTTCTCCCCCCCCAGACCTAATATTATTTCTCTAACCAAAAGGAATTGAGTCTTTGCCACAAACTCAAATGTTCTAATCCTTGGAATTTCAAACTTTGATTATTCGGTCTAACATAATTTACAGTTGGAAATATTTAAGGTCTACAACATTGGGTTGTAAACATATAAGGACGGGAAAATCAGAGTTTGTGGCAAAGACTCAATTCCTTTACATAAACAATTCTTTCTTTATCGAATATGAATTAATATTGGCGTAAGAAGAAAGAACTAAAAGTAATTGGTTGTGACAAAAATCAAAAGAATTTAGCGAGGTTTCGATAAAAGGAATTTGTTGAAAAACAACAAAAAAGTGAATTGTTTTTCTTTCCAGTATGTTTGTTAGTTTTTGAAAATTTGTAATATTCCACCTTTAACCAAACCACAACTGCATATTCTAATTTATGATCCTTATGAAGGTTTCATCTCCACCAAAAACTTTTATCTTTTCTTTAAATATTCTATGCAGTGCTTATGATCCGGATTCGGATCCGTGCTTATGATTCGGATCCGGATCCGTGCTTATGATTCGGATCCGGATTCGTAGGGTCCCGTCACATTTTGGCTTCCTGGATCAGGATCTGCAAGATCCACGGATCTGGATCCAAAATGTCAACCAAACCCTATTAAAAACACTTTTTGCTCTCAAATCACAAATCTCAGTTGTTGGAAAATGAGATATTGTTTCATTTATCAAATCTTTAAATGGTTTATAGAAAAATTAGCGATTTTTTAAAAATCTTTCGTTTGTTCAAAATACAGTAAATCTTATAGAAATTCCACGCTATAAAATGAAAATAATTTACTTATGTATACATAATACATATCGTTTAGATATTTTATTATATTTCTGTAATATGATTACATGATATTATTAAAGATGACAGATGTTGTTTAGAATAATAATCTAGTATGATCATTAGCAGATTAATGCAGGGTATTAGTCATAAAAAATAACATATTTTTCCTCTTGTAATAAATCTTTCTCCCCCCCCCCCGTAACTGAGCATACAGTAGTTCCCACAAACTATACAGAATGGCTAGTTTAAGAAAAATTATCTAAAATTTGTCTATACTTTTTTACGATTTTTAACTGCTAACAAGGATATAATCTAAAAACTCNTTCTAATTTCTAGACTGATAAACTAAATAAAAAGTGGACTGACCTCAAAACTAATCTCGTCGTTTGCTTGTTTAGCATATCGTCTCACTAAATATAGACATTTTCAACATTTCGGTTTAAATCCATTTAAAAATATAATCATTGTGTTACTTAACTCTTCCCATTGTAATTATCTTTATATTTCTCATTCATAACAATATGATATAGTTTATTCAGAGGCGTATTCAGGGGGGGGGCTATGGGTGCTGAGCCCCCCTCCCCTGGGAAGAAAAAAATTTAAGCCCTGGACAAATTCCTAAATACGCCCCTGAATAATAATAATAATAATAATAATAATAATAATAATAATAATAATAATAATAATAATAAAAATAAACCTGAATATGCTGCAGCTACTGCTGGTGTATTAATATCACTTTCATCAGTTATGATTAATCTAAACAAATAATTAATAAAAGTTAATAAAAAGTAAAAGTTTGAAAAAATAAATCACAATGAACTAGAGTCTATTTAAATCCGAACCGGACCGAACCCTTGTACCGGCTTTTGTGACGCACGGCATGTACCGCCCTGACCTTATCCAATGTTGGCCCGGTTTCAACTATAATGGCGCGGCCACACTTTTTACAGTACCCGGCCTATCATAGGCCTACTAGATTAGTTTTGTGTGAAATATGAAGAAAAGAGTGCCAACAGAGAAAAAAATAGGATTTAAAGAGAGAGAGCGAGAGTCTAAAAATAACGTTATTTAAAGAACGAAAATTTTTAAATTTGTTACAACTTGTTTACAGGTTTGAGGAGGTCTAATAGAAAATTGTATCACGACAAGAATCAGNGTTGTGAATTTATAGTACCTGTTCCCTTTATTATCTAGTTCCAACCAGGATAGAATAGGACCACAGGTGACTAGCGGGCCGACCAACCTACTCAATCTTTCCAGGTAGACACAGAGGAACTCATACATACTCTCCTAAACATAAACAGTTGCCTAGCGTGCCGACCAACCTACTCAACCTTTCAAAAAAGACGCAAAGAAACTCATACTTACTCTCCTATAAACAAGAACAGGTGACTAGCGGGCTGACCAACCTACTAAACATGTGACCTATCTGTTCTTAACTAACGGGCTGACAAACCTTCACAACAGATAGCTAGCTGGCTGACAAACCTACTTAGCATGTAAATAGCGGGCCGACTAACCTGTTCAATAGTAGACTAGAAGGCCGACTAACCTATTCAATCGATGAATCTGAACAACGATTGCCTAAACTTCATGGTTATTAATCTCTTAGAAAAAATACTGCTATTTTCTTGCTTTTCTTTGCAGTGGAAATCCGAAACACGCTTTCTAGAAAGACTGTCTCCTAAAGTTTTCAATTTTCGGAAAGAATAAAGAAAATAGTTGTTACTCTAATACAGATTAAAAGATAAAATAAATACATTGACAGTGAAAAGATACAGACATTTTTTCTTGCTTTTTTTACCGAAAGACAAGGTTGTAGTTGAGATTTTTTGGTTTAATTATTTCAAATATTATAAATATTTGTACAGGCGTTATCGACGCAAATAACTGCGTATAAGTGTGGACACAAAGGCTGCGTAAGATCTGTTGCGTATTTGTTTACAGAAAATAGTTACCACAGGAATTTCAAGTATAGCCCTAGGAAGGTGGGGGGGGGGGCTGAGGGGGCGTATTATTTTTTGGGAGAATATGTTCGCAAATGAAATTCAAAATGAAAATACAATTGCCAATAAATATAAAATATTGAAAATTGCGAATTCATGAACGTATTGCATTATTGTTTTGACACATTGTGACGCAATCTGACGCAATCTGTTCCTGGTTTCACCGGATGAAAACAAATATTTATTTTTAGGTTTAAATAAATACTACAAGTCATGCCAGGCGCATTCTTTCATTCGATTAAACTTTTATCTAATTCGGCGGTCATTTTCTTTCAGCATTCGCCGTTTAAACTCTTTAATTCGGCTGCTTCCCTTAAAATCTCCGCCGTCTAAATTCTGATTTCCGGCGGTTAGCTGAGTTAGCTCCTCTTTATCAAATTATTAAATTCGGTGGTCATTATTATTTGTCTTTTCAATTGATCCCAAAAAGTGATTAAACTTTTCAGAATTTGACATTTTAAATCTTTATGCGCTGTTACCCTTTTTTCAAATCCGCCATTAGAATTATTTAATCTAATTTCTCATCAAAATTGTGAATTCCCTTTCCCATTGGCCCTTAAGAAAACTCACTGGAACCTCAGGAAAGCCACGAAGCTAATATTGTCCCCCTCTAACCTCCTGAAATATATATCTGCAAGCTCACACTTATCTCACACAATCTTTGTTCAATAAAGTTCGCGCCTTAAAGTGCGCATTTTACGCGCGTAAACGCTTTAAGATGTATACGCTGGTTTCTCTGCGTACTATTCGTCAAGTCATTTAGACTTGAACAATTTTATCACGAAGAAACAAGTCATTCTGATAAATCTGATCTTGGATCTAGAACTTACAGTTCATGTTTTCATGTCTAATCTTAAAATTCATGTCTCCATTTATTTTACCGTTCCTGTCTACATTTATAATTTTACAGTTCCTGTCTACATGTTTAACCTTAAAGTTTATATTTTCATGTCTTATCTTAAAGGTCATGTTCATGTCTTCATTCAGTTAATGTTTTCGTGTCTAAACTTTCAGTCCTCATGTCTTCATGTCTAATCTTACATTTCCTGTCTTCTGTCTACATGTCTAATCTTACAGTCCTTGCCTTCAAGTCAGTTGTCTAATTTTAGTTCCTGTTTACATGTCTGATTTTACAGTTCCTGTCAACATATCTTATAATTACAGTTCCTGTCTTTATGCTTAATCTTGGATCCAGATCTTACAGTTCATGTTTTCATGTCTAAATCTTACAGTTCATGTTTTCATGTCTAAATCTTACAGTTCATGTTTTCATGTCTAAATCTTACAGTGTCTGTCTTTGAGCCTAATTTTGTCTGATATCTTATGTTTAGTTTCTAAAAATCATGAACTATAGAAGTTAGAACTGGACTGAGTATTTTTTAGAATGTTCTTTGATACTTTTTAAACATACAAAATGCAAATTGTTTACCAATCTCTATTAAACTCTAAACTGTAAATTTTCAGGGTATGTCTTTAAATCCCACTTCCGTCGGATTCATTACGAATAAAAAACATCGTATCGTAAACTTGAAACGGCTTGAAACTGCTTACCTTCGGATTTCGCCCATTTGCGGAGATATTCTCTTGTTCTGGAACTACGCTTAGCAGGGAGAATTTTCTATAGAAAAAATGTACTTTTTAATATCTTCAGCATAAAAAAACTATAGATAGGTGGATAGATAGGATATATGGTAAAGAAGATAGCAATTTGCCTATATTTTTTATGGTTGTCTGTCTGTAAGTTTGTATCACATAAACGCCAAAAGGACTTCCTTTAAGGACTTTTTTATTTCTAAAATCAAGAATTATGAAAACAGGAAAATCTGCGAAATAAAAGTTAGATAACTACATATATAGCTAGCTAGATAGATAGATAGTTAAATAGCTAGATAATACGTTAGATATCAAGATAGATAGATAGATAGATAGATAGATAGATAGATAGATATATAGATAGCTATATAGCTAGATAAATATATAAGATAGATAGAAAGATAAATAGATAGATAGATAAAAAGCTCAATAGCTAGAAAAATAGATTGATAGGTAGATAGATTAATAGATAAATATATAGCTATATAGCTATAGATGTATAGATAGCTAGATAGACAGATACCTGTCAAAAACACAAGTATGAAGCTGTCGGTCAAGTGACTGGAAATCCTCCAAGGTTCGTCGAAGAACCCAAGTTCTAAAAACAAATAATAAACCTTAAAATAAAATAAAATAATCTTTAAACGTAAATTGAAGAGATCCTCCATGAAAAGACCATATGTCTGATTTTCAAATATTTCAAATTTCAAATATTTGTCTGATCCTAGATGAATGAAATTTCCATATTTTTCTTTCTGAAAATTTACCTTGCTCCTCCTTTACTCTCTGGGAAGCTGTTAGCTAGTATCAAGAAACATTCTTCGTCAGATTTTGTCCTATCATCATATCTTGTCCTATCATCAGATCTTGTTATGAGGTCCTCCATCCTTCCATCCTCTGTCCTCGTGTCCTCGACCCTGGTGTCTTCAGGTTCGTTCATCAACGTCAACTAAAGCAACAATAATTTCAAGTGACCCTCCATCTTGATTCTTGAAAGTGGCATGTGATATCCATAATTTTCCGAAAATTTGATTTGTGATTTTTGATCTTTCAATTATCGACCTGATAAAGGTTTAAAGAGTAGTGGTACCGTTGCGAATCGAAAAGGTCATTAATCTTTAAAAAAACATCCTTCAATTTCGGATTTTTTTTCGGTTAGACTGAAAAAAATCCTCGAAAAAAATATATTCTGTTCACCTGGAGGGGTCCGATTTCTGCGTATTCATAGTGAAAATGTGCACAGTCTTGTAATCTGGGAAATCTAAACAAAAAATGTATTATTTTCTGAATACGCCTCTGGGGTGGGGTGGGGGTTACCTTGAAACAGAATCTTGATTTGTTGAAGTAAGATGGTGAATTGTCATTTTTCCTCTGGAGGTTTCTATTTCACTACTGCTCATTAATCCACTCTAAAAAATAAAACTAATTTTATTACATTTTGTTTTACCTTTTCCGGAATAACCCCCCCCCCCCCCCTCTGTTGGGTAGTATTTTAAATCTTTCTTTCTATCAATAAATTCTGTGTAACCATCTATTAGAATTAATCTAGTTATTAAATGCCAACTCTGCCGCTAGATGTCTCATTGAGAAAGGGTCTCGGTATCCAATCAGCTGATCGCCCTCAACAGTAAAGAGAAATCGCGGCGAATTTACGAAAATATTTAGTAATAAACATTGCGTCAGTATTCAACGTCAACCTGCTATGTGTGATGGAAGACTAAAACGAATTTCCAATTGTTAAAATGAAAATTTTGATTCTGACCCTGATTGTCAGTTTTCAAGGAGGGAGTGCATTTATGGAAGACGTAAAAACTGCGTTAAACTCTGCCAGAGGGTATTTAGGTAACTATTAATATTTACTTTTTTATCTAACTTTATGCATTATGATGTGTTTATTGTGTAAAAAACAATAAAAACAATTTGGGGATTTTAGCCCCCCCCCCTCTTTGAAAAATTTCCTATATATTCCCCTGAGAGGGGAGGAAGGCCAAGCACATCAATCTCTAGTCCGAACCACATTCTCCTCATTTTCTCCTCTGAACCACCCCGAAATCCTCGTCCTTTCAATATTATTTTTTTAAGTGTCTAATCTTTCCATAAATGAAATATCAAATTTTGTAAATCGAAAAAATAGTTTCAATTCAATTAAAGATTTCAAGTTTAATGTCTTGAAAAATGTTCACCTTTTTTACGCGCATTTTCAGATATTCCTGGTGTAGAATGCCACAAGTAATTTATAGAACTTCAATCTTTTTTGTTAACTTTAGTGAAAACCATAGAATTTTTCTGGGTGATTCCATGGGGAAAATTATAGGCATAGGAATGCCAAATATTTTGCTATTTTTTTCATATCACAGTAGAGATTGAAGTTTTACCTGAATAAAGCTCAACATCATTTTCCTTGGGTTTGAAGATTCCAACATGATATAATCATTGCATTACTTTAGTCCATCCATATTTAATGCCCTAACGTGGCCAGATTTTTAAAAAAATAGTTTTATCTTCAAGAATTGGAAACTTTTAAACACAAAATAATCGAAGGACGAGGATTCCGAGGTGGTTTGGGCGAGAAAATGAGGAGAATTGGGTTCGGACTAGAGATTGAATTGGTTGGCCTTCCTCCCCTCCCCCTGATGGTTAAGAAGGTGTAAAAAAAGTTTAGAGAAATTAGTTTTTGTTTTAACCAAAAAAAACCATTAAAATCTTTTAAGCCTTTCACAACAGTTATTTATTCATATTTATTTTTGTATACATATTCTTGTCTGTTTCTAATTTCTAACTATTTTCTAGATGAAATTCTGCCAATGATCTCAAATGGAATAAAAGCAGTTCAGAAGTTTGAAGAATTTGTGGAAAACTCTATTGAAGAAGATTGCTACTATGAGTGCCCTAAAGTAGGTTTTCAAAACATCAAGTTAAATCAAAGTTATCCGCATTCCGGATTATTTAATAAAGAGAAGTAATTGATCCACTTCTCTTCGTCACAAGTTCAAATTGATGTGAAGTGGTTTAATTTAGTCTATAAAGTTCAACTACTTCTATCTATTCATTATATTTAGACTCAGAGAAAAACCCAATTTTTTATCATAAGCACTTTCACAAACACAGAACAAAAAAAATTTTATTTCATTAATCAGAAAATCAAATTTCCTTTCTTTTTCAGTTTTTAACTTGACTTTTAAATGACTTGATTATTTAAAAATATGTTCAAGTTATTGAAGCTTTTCTAGCTTAATATCCTAGCAGATACTAAAAAGTAATTTTTCAGGGGAATACTAAAACTCCAAAACCAGATCATGTGCAAACTGCCAATGGATGTGGATCTTTAGGTATGATCTTAATGTCGCTATGCTGGCTCTAAAATTAGGATTTTACTGAATATTTAATCATTAATCTTGAGTTAACATCAGTCCAAGGGTTGTGGTATACAAAACAGTGTATTTTTTGACTTGACAAGTGTAATAAAAACCATAAATGCATTTACTAGTACCTGCAGCCCTAGTGTACCCAACCAGGGAATTACCATAATGAAAGAGACTTTTGAATATATGTATATTATGGTTGTCCAGTTCATACTGTTGTAAATACCATATATTTGTCTAGATATCACTTTTGATGACAGCAATGAATCCTTTATCTATGTAGAGAAGGAGTTCAGGTATTTAAATACTCATTTTCCATGCTTTTGTTTATAAGCATGTTTTATAAAGTAGTTTGTAGTGCTAATAACTAAGTATTTTTTTTTACCATTGAAAGACTGTTCAAGCCCAGTGCACATTTGATAAAATGAGAATTTTTAAAAAATGTTTTTTTAAAATTTATAATCCTGCTTTCCTCAGTGCCAGGGCAAGTATTTTTTTTTGAAATTGTGAGATCCTTCCTAGTTCATATTTTAAGGAGCTATTTGATGTTTTTTTGTGGTATTTTTTTACAACAAAATGGTAATACTGTGAATTATCTCTCCTAATATTAGTCACTAATTTTAAAAATCGCTATTTTTGGCTAAAAGTGTATGTTGATTTTAAATTGTGCACATTTCTGTAACTGTGATCAAGAATTATTTTGTCCATGCAAATCAGCGATAAAAAACTTATAAAAATGTGCAAATTTGCGGAGGAACCAAAAAATTGTGTGCCACATTTTTCCATTCCACTGGAAACCCTTACTAGAGCCCTATGATGGTTATAATATGTTTGGAAATATCTTTCCACTAATCCCCCACGGCCCACACCTATTCTCCCTGGATTAATTTATCTAAAAGAAAAACATAATTTCAATTTCTATCTAAATTATTTTCTTTCATCTTCACAAATAGAAATGTGGTAAAAAAAAAGATTTTTTTGATTTTTTCAAATTCCCAATAGAGGGAGAATGCAGTTCAATCCAATCTCCACTAAAACTTACTAAATTTTTTCCGTCATTATGCTGCAGACCACTGCAGTACACATTGAAAGCTTAGCTCAGGGTGAATCCTTTGAATCCCCTAGACCTTAGGCTCTGCAATACAGAACTTTAAATGCCCATCCTACTCACTGAGAGAAGATTTAATTTGGCAGTTACAGCTCTGTAAAGATTTTCTTTTAAGTTAAGATAATTCTTTGTTTTAACATTTAAAAATCTACACTCCAGCATGTTAATCGTTAAAAAAATTAATTTAAAACTATGAATAGATAAAATCTAAAAACTTTAGTATTTTTTATGTCTTTTGTTTCTTGTTCTAATGGATTATTAACTTTTATCATAAGCTCTACCCCTATTGTTTTGATTGTAATTTAGTTTTTTAGTTTAAAATATGTAACATTTTGCACATTCCTAGTTTATTCAAAGTTTTCTGGCTTCAGTCCTTTCTAGTCTTGAATATATTAAATCCCATAAAAGCATACCACTGCAGTGAAAGAGAATGTTGAAATGTAAAGGATTTTCTTCATAATATCTTATGCAAACCTTATGCATTACTAAATAAACAGTTTTTATGAAGCCAAAAAAGTAATTTTGATTTTAATTGTAAGCATTTAAATTAACATTCTGCAATTTAGAAAATTCAAATTCACACAGTAGTGTGTATTTTCTTGGAAATTTTTACCCCCTTCTGAAACATCAAAATTTAAGTTTTTAAACTTTATTGATCTGAAATAATTTTTTTTAATAAATACATATCTTTCAATGTATTACTTTTTTCCTCATAGTAATTGGGAAAATATACTAGTAAAATAAAAAAATTGTAAACAATTTTTGAAATAAAGGAATTGTCTTGAATGATAAAAACAAAAATCTAAAATAATATTTTTTATTTTTAGTGATTGCTGTCACTCTCATGATTACTGTTATGACACATGTGGAGAGGATAAGGTTGGCGATCAAAGAATATTTAATTGTTTTTCCTTTAAATTCTTAGATGTTTTTTATTGATCTATAATAGTTGAAACCTGACATCAAATGAATTGAAAATGATACCTTGATGTTTAAATTAATTTGAAATTTTGTAAATCTGTTGCATGTACTCATGAACATAAAAAGAAGTCTTTGATAATTAAGTTAAAAAAAAGTTTGAAGGAAAAAATAAAAATCTTAAAACTTTAGGATTTTTGTGATGTAAAGTTTCGAAAGTGTCTCTACAAAGTTTGCAGTGGAGAAGAACACAAAAAGTTTCTGGATAACAAGAAGTGCAAACTCAAGGTGGGAATTCTTTTCTACAAATTGTGGTTGTCACAGCAGCTCTGCATATTTAATGAAATAAGCCTAAGAAAAATAAAAAAAACCCTTTTATTCACACTTTGTGAATGAGATGATCTATTCATGCAAGAAAAAACGAATGTAAAGAAAATAATATTATTTTTACCAACTTTAATTAGTCCAAAAGCTTTTAGCTCTATAGAGGGTTGTAAACCAGTAATACTATAAACCATTATCATGTTTTTAAGTGTAGCTCATTTATCTGAAATATCTTGTCCTTATGTAATATATATCCCTTTAATAATGCTGTTGAGGTTCAATTCAGTTTTTTACAATATATTGCACAGCAATTTTCTATACATACTTCTAAACTTTTTATATTATAAATAGTCTCACAACTTCACTGTGAGAGTCTAAATATATAGCTGGGGAATTTTAATTTGGTTTTCTCCATCAATAAAAACTTTCACATAATGAAAAAAGTAAGTCCTAGCAATATAAATATTTTAAATGAAACTTCAGTTGTTTTCACATGTTTATCATGATATAATTTTTCTTAATCCTATAAAGAAAAAATAGTGACTAGTGCAGAATTGGTTGTCTTATACAAGTTGCTTTGTCTTTTATTGAGTCTTTGATACAAATTCTATCCTTTATCTTTGCCACACAATGATGGATCAAATATCTTAAGTTAAAAGTATCATTAGGTTGCAAAGATATTCGGCTCATGAAATTTGTAATGGTGGCAAAAACTGAATTCATTTACATTTGTTTGCCAATAAAACTAATGGTGTATTCAGGCCAAACTGTTTTACATGACCGTTGTGGGAGTTGGATGTCAGCCATTCAAAGATGCACAGGTAGAATATTCAGAACTTTAATCAGTTTTCAGAATTTCTTAACTATTTAACAACTTTTGTATCCGTAAATATTTCAAGAGAACATCTTTGAAGTATGCAACTACTTTGAATAATTATTCATTTTGATCTTTATTTAACTAATTTGGATCCATTGGTTTGAAACCTGGATCCTCAGCACTGATAAAGTATTTGTTTATTCAAGTAAATAATGTTTATGGTTAGTTGGTTGAACCATTCTTGTTTAATAACAGTAATAAATTCAATACATTTTACAATGATTAAATTGTCAGTAAATAAGGGGAAAAGTATATTATTACAAGAGTTTATCTCAATCACCAGTCTAGGGACAATATTTGCAAAATATAAAATACTAGGATTTTAGGGCTCTTGGTGCCCATAAAAAATTCTTCCCTAGGGCCACGGGAGGTCCCACACAAAATTTTGGCCTGATCGGTTCAGTCGTTTTGACGTTATTTGGACACAAACAAACATTCAAAGTATATATATATAGATAAAACAAATTGAATCTTAAACAAGGGTTGGGATATAAAAAGGATTACATGTATCTTGAAAAATAATATTACACCACTTCTCTTAAACAAAGATTTTATAGGGTTATTGCTGAATTGGAGAATTCAAATGGTTTAAAGGGCCGGAGAATGATTAATTTTGTGTCAAAAGTATATTAATGTAGGAAAAAGCTTGCCAGCTTGGTGCCTTATTTCTATTTCCTCCACCCTTAAATCTTCAAAAATATACTTTTCTCCTAAATATATACCCTTGAATTATAAGAAAGACCTACAATTTCAAAATATTTTAGATTTATTCTAAAATGATTGACACTAGTGTTCTGTTTTTGTTTTGTTTGTTTTCATTTTTACTTTTCCCTTGACATTTACTATTTTAGAGGAATGCCTGTGATTGTGTTAAAGGTGCTGCGAAGGGTAAAACTGAGCTGTGAATGTTATTTAAGACGGAGAAAATATTTTTTATTCTTTCATTTTCTGATACGTTAAACATTCAATCTATTCTATCAGTTCTTTTGTATTACAAATTCAATAGAATTATCTGAGACAGGTGATTTTTGAACAAGAAAGAGGGCCGGCTTTATCTAGACATAAGTGATTCACTTACTTTTCTTAATAAGTGAAGTCCTGCTCATGGTTTTCTAGATTCTTAAAGAAACCAGAGAAATAATCTTACTCTCAATTTGTAGAGTGGCATGTCGGATTCATAACATAAATGATGAGAAAGATATCAATTTAAGGTTTAAATTCTTAAATTTTCTGTCTAGTTCTTGATGCATATAGGACATAGGTTGTTACAAGGGTAATTCAGTGAATAGGATATACCATTTTCACAAACAAACTTGAAATTAGGACTACACTCTACAGTCTCTCTTCTGCAAAAAGATTCATTTAATTTATCATAGTTAACGGATTTGAAAGTGTGTGCTAAAATTTAATGGAAAACCCTCCCAACTGAACCCAACATGGTGAAATAAAATTAGATCAAAGTAAGATTTCATGAAATGCAGAAAACACCGCATTCATTATTTTAACAACACCTTTAAGTTTTAAAAGTTTTAACATTTTATATGTGCAAAATCATACTGAACTGAAATAAAGATTTATGTACTTCCAAATTTTACAACAACAAATATAGACTGATTTAATATTATTGTGTGGCTCACTCTGTATTGAACCATTTACGTAGCTGTATAATAATGCAATGTAAATTCGTCCATTCTGTATTAAAATATAATGTTATATGGTCCACCCTGTAATTGAATAAAGATATTTTGTTTTATGGCTCATTCTGTGTTAAAACATGATGTTATGTAGCTCATTCTGAATTAAAATATATTGTTATGTGACTCATTCTGTATTAAAACATAATGTTCTATGGCTCACCCTGTATTACATCTATATATACTTTGCTTGTTTGTCTAGTTTGCCTCTCTGTTTGTATCCAATAAACGTAAAAAAAAAGCCAAACTGATCGGACCCAACATTTTAGTTGAACTCACAAATTGAGACTCCAAAATATTTTGATTTTTGTAAATTTTAGAAAATCCACGAAACAATGTTACTTAATCCGCGCACTTTTTGTTATTATTTTATAATGCAGCAGCATAAATCAAAAATGTTTGCTGATAGGGCATAAAGCGCACTGAAAACCTAGAGTACTAAACAAGAGTTTGATTAATTGACGTTAATTATAGCAAAGAAAAGAGCATCCAGTATCTGCAGTGCAATTCCTACTTGCACTTTAACTTAGTTTTGAGTGACCCTCAATTAAAAAAAAACCTAGAACTCGAGCTATAACGCTTTCCAAATCTGAAACTGAAAGGCATAAAAAAAAAATTTGCCGTTTTTTTCTGATAGTTTTGTTTGAAGAAGAGATAAAGTAGTACTTGCAATGCAATTGGACTGTATGTGTAGTGGTAGCTTTAGAGTATCCAAGAAGCCAAATGCTTCGAATTTACATTTCAAATTTTGCCCCCCCCCCCCTAGGTGCCCCCCTAGATTTATTTATGTAGACCCATGAATTTTGTTTGATCAAATAGTCGGAGTTTTAAATATCAAAGGTGTACAAGGAAAAATAGAGGATTTTGAACACATGCATTTTTAGCAATTAAAATCCAAAAGATGTTTAAAACACATTTAACATACGGGGAGAGGGGGGGGGGCCTAATATTTGTCAAGAGAGGGTGAAAAGGAGTTTGCAAAAAATGTAACCTCCTACCCTTTCATTAATTGTGACCCCTCCATTTAACTTGCTTTTCCTTACCTCTAGAGTGTATTTTGGATTAATGCTTGCAAGACCTCGGGATCGAGATTTATGATGTTTATGTTTATTGGAGATCCCTTCAGGGGTCACAGGGTACCCTGGACCCTTGCTCAGGGGATCCCCTATCATATATCCCCTTACAGGCTGCTCTCTTAGGTCACTTGTAGACATCCTGGCCGAAAGCCTGCAAAAAAAAATAATGTTTATATTTAAAAATTTTGGTGATTTCTCATTAAATACAGTGATAACCAGAAAACTCTGAAATAGGAAGAAAACTTAAGTGTATAACTATACTAAACTATACTTAAGTGTATTTGATGTTGTTACAAAGCAAATAGTTTTTCTAGACACTTATTAAGCCACTAATTAATTGAAATGGGTGTGTTTACATGGCCCAATTGCTGTGTCCCATGCTTATTGGACTATTTAAAGTCATAACTTGAGTCTAAAAGTCTTATTCCTATTTCAGAGTTTTCTCGTTATCACTGTATACTGTAGACTCCTTACTAAAAACCTACCGTGAATATATATATATATATATCTTCACCTAATCTAACCTAGAATAATACTTTGTACTTTTTCAGAAGGAGGAGGAGGGGGGGGTCTAGCAAATTTAATAATTTAATCTGATTGCTTCAATTGAAGGTTGTATTGTATCCAATCAAATTAAATGTGAAGATACAGAAAAGATGATACTTTGTATCAAACTTTAAATCCTTTAAAATAGAGAAAACAAAGAAAAAAATTGAACATTTGATTTAAAAAAAAAATTGCAAAAAAAATATTCATTAAGCAAATCCCGATCTGGACATTTTTTTAGAAACTGCATCAAAATGAAACGATCACTAGCATTGCATTAAATCATCAAATTTTTTGCAAAATGTATCCAAACTGATTTTCAATTTAGTATTGTAATCAGTAAGCAGATAAATTTATTTTCATCAAAAACATGACAAATTGTGAATATTTTTAGAAAGTTAAAGTTAGAAAACTTGAACATGAAAAAGATTATTAAATTTCAACAGACTTTCAAAATTTTATTTTATTTTCTATATTTTCAGAAATATTCATTTCTCCCAACGGAAGAATATTGAGTATTTTTAACCATCTAAACCACCACAGTTTTCCCAAGTTATCAATAAACATTTAAATTTTTTTCTGAAGCACACTTTTAAAAAAGAAAGGGAGTTTGTACAGGGATACCGACAATTGACTTTAAAGGGACTGTAAGCGAACTTTCAACGGTACCCCTTAAGCCTTTCTTTGATCAACAATATAAAAGATGTCGTTCTTCTAGGTTTAAAAGCGTTTAGTTCTGATAATTCCTACATATTTTCCTAACGTAGAAATGCGCAAGTCACCGTTGTATAAAAACCACAATTTAAACAAATCTGTTTTCAAAATTATAAACAAGGATAGCTCTAATTCATACTTGATCACACAAAGCGTTTAAATTTATATACCGTGTTGAATCGGCCATCTTCCCATAGAGGGTCAAAGTCAAAAATGTATTATAAAAATACGATAATCTGATAATCTGATTGTCTTGCGTATCATTGAATTTCATATTTTTATTTAACTACAAAGCACGAGGTAATACAAATAACAAATCACAATTTACTATGTAGTTTGGACCCGCCTAACCAGAGTTGGTTGTTTTAATTGGTTGGCCCATTATAAGCGAATAAGAATTGTTAAGAAATAGATGGGTGTACAGTGTACATTTCAAACAAAACAATGATGATAAATCATGAATAAGGTAAGGAGGGGGTGAAAAAGTATAAGGGAAAGGGTGGGTACTCAGCGGAAGGATTGTAATAGAGGGTAACATATATAATTAGAATCATGTTTATGAATTACAGGGTAAAGAAGATAGCGAAGACTAAGTTATCCACATTAAAAACAGTTATTGTGTTTACAGATATAACTTGCTTAACTATCTCAATAGTTTTTGAAGATTTTTCTTTTAAACAGTTTCGCAGATTTAGTTTCTTTCAGCTCTAATTCAAGCGAATTCCATAATTTTGGAAATAAAGCGGAAGGAAAATATTCTTGCATTTTAAAAAGAACCCGCTAAAGTTTATATGATTTTGTTCTATTTGGTTCATCTAAAGAATTAAACATATCATAGAAGGAAGTTGAAAGGTTTTTATAAAAGTATATATGTATCATCAAGATTTAGAAGTTCTAATCTGAAGAATATTGGATCTGAATGTACTTTAAATGAATTATTATTTACTGCTCTAATTGCCCTTTTTTTGCAAAGATTTGATTTTCTGTAGTTTAGCATTCAGTTAAGAAGAACAATTTATTGTTCCAATTAAATTTTATATTTTATTAATTAAGAAATGCAATTCTCATTATTTGAAATTAGGTCAAAAAATGATTAAATTTGTGATATTAAAACTTTAAAAAATTTATTATGAATTTGAAATTATGGGTATTCTTTAATGCTAAGCTTCAAATTAAAATACACGGGACAATTTATTTTAATTTTAGAATGGGAGGGTGACACTGACTTAAAAAAATAAATGCCCCTATTCATTTAAAGTTAGAGATTATTTCATATACTAATTCATATAAATGCATTTAATTTAATCAAAACAGTTAAATATTATGGAAAGTTGTATTTGTAAACGAGGGGGGGGGGGGGGGTGTATATTTAGAAGGAGGTCAGGATTGTAAAGTTTATCAAATGAATGTTTAATTCTAATTTAAAGTCTATATTCATTTATTCATTAGAAGCAAAAATAAAACAGAATACTTTTGTTAAAGTTGAAATTTATAATTCTGATCAGACTTTGAACATTTCTTAAGAATACTTATAAAAAATAACTTTTAAAAAGACTGTTAAAAGGTAAATTCAACTAAAAACTTAGATTTTTATTTGCAATTATCTATTCCAACCTTGATCGCCAAATTACACAATTACTTGTTGTATAAACATTTTATTAGCATATTATTTTGCTAACAGTATTCATATATTCATGAGAACATGCATTTCTACATTACATCTACATATATAATTCAGATATATTCTATTCTAATTACTCAAATTAAATTGTTTAAAAATATATTTATATAGAATAAAAAATGTTAAAAGGATAAAATGTTAAAAGGATGAAAGGATAAAGGAACAAAAGGATAAAAGGATAAAAGAAAATAAGGATAAAATGGTAAAAGGATAAAAGAATATAAGAATAAAATGTTCAAGGTTTAAAAGGATAAAAGGATAAAAGAATAAAAAGATAAAAGAAAGAAAGGATAAAGGGGATAAAGACGTATAGGATAAAAGGATAAAAATTATTAAAGGATAAAAGGATAAAAGAATAAAAGGATAAAAGGATAAAAGGATAAAAGGATAAAAGGATAAAAGGATAAAAGGATAAAAGGATAAAAGGATAAAAGAATTGAAGGTATTGTGAAGAGAGGGTTGTGGGGTTTATTTATTAAAGAGAATGTTCAACTAAACAGTAGAGCTATATAAGGTCAGTAGTTTTTTAATTTGGGTCAGTTTGAAGATGGATAGTGGTGATTTAATGATTGCGATTTCGCCCTGATAAGGGAGGGGTTGGAAACCATAGTGGAGAAGAAGGTTGAGGAGCGTCGATATTTTATATGTACGGCTTACGAGGAGTTGGAATTCCATCAGATATCTATTTTTAACGTTGAAATTGTCTGAAATCAAGGATTCAGGAAAACAGGGATTCACTACAAAGGATAAAAGAATAAAAGGATAAAAGGATAAAAGAATAAAAGAATAAAAGAATAAAAAGATAAAAGGAAAAAAAATAAAAGAAAGAAAGGATAAAAGAATATAAGGATAAAATGTTGAAGGTATAAAAGGATAAAAGGATAAAAGAATAAAAAGATAAAAGAAAGAAAGGATAAAGGATAAAGATGTATACGAAAAAGGATAAAAGGATAAAAGAATAAAAGGATTAAAGGATAGAAGGATAAAAGAATAAAAGGATTAAAGGATAAGGATAAAAGGATAGAAGAATAAAAGGATACAAGGATAAGGATAAAAGAATAAAAGAATAAAAGAATAAAAGGATAAAAGGATAAAAGAATAAAAGGATAAAAGGATAAAAGAATAAAAGGATAAAAAGATAAAAGGATGAAAGGATAGAAGGATAGAAGAAAAAAAAAATAAAAGGATAAAAGAATAAAGGATAAAAGGATAAAAGGATAAAAGAATAAAGGATAAAAGAACAAAGGATGAAAGAATAACAGTATAAAAGGATAGAAGGATTAAAGGATAAAAGGATAAAAGGCTAAAAGGATAAAAGGATAAAATAATAAAAGGATAAAAGAAAATAAAAGGATAAAAGAATAAAAGAATAAAAGAATTAAAGAATAAAATAATTAAAGAATTAAAGAATAAAAGAAAAGAAAATCAATTAAGATAAAAGACAAGATAACGGTAATTAATGGATATAATTAAAAGAGAATTAGTTGCAAAACTAACATTTTACAGTTCGGAAAAAAATACCCAAATGCAAAAAAGTTTCAGAAAAAATCAATTATTATTAAAGGGAGTGTTCGCGAAAAATGAAAGGGGGTATAGGCTTAATGCGATTAAAAAGCGCTTTTGAGCGCTTCTAATCTTACTTCTATCTGTTATCTGTTATCCGCACTAAGCCCATACCCCCTTTCATTTTTCGCGAACACTCCCTTGAAGTGAAGTTTTAATGATCTAGAAATTATTCATCCACTTCATGTTCTTGGCAAATTCTTGTTCAGAGGACCTTTTTTAAAGGGGTTTAAAAATTTTCAGAATTACACTCAAAATACGCTCTTGAAAGAAAACACTTTTCTTTGAATTTGAAAATACATAAAAAGAAAAAGATGATCATTATGAAAAAAGAGAAAGAGAAAGCTAGGAATTAAAAAGTTTAGAAATTAAACGGAAAAAAAAGAAAAAAAGCAAAAGCAAAATTAAATTGTAAAATTACCTTTTTTGGTCCCCTGTCATACATTTAGTAATAAAAGACATTTTTACCAAATCGTCTCACAAAAAAAAAATAATTTAATCAGCCGGTGAAAAAATGAATCAGCTGACTACTATTATGACTGATTAGATCAGCTGGAGGATGGTTCCTGGGACAAGCCTCGAGGATGAAGTACCAGCCTCAACTAGGCAGTTGGAAGACCGGGGGATCACCTCCCCTTTCTACCTTTATCTAATATCCCATTATGTTATTAAGGTGAGACGGTTTTTGACAACTTTTATGCATAAAACATAGACGCAGCTGCCTTTTTTCATCGAGCAAATAATGAAGCTTTTGTAATTAGAGATACAGGGATACTTTAGATACCACTTACGGTAAATTCGTTAGCCTGATTAAAAGGTTAGGAAGACTTAACTTTGAAACCCATTTTCATCCGTTAAATTAAGTTTTTTTTCGTATAATACTTATTTGTTTGTCTTTGTACTCCAAGTATTATTAAAATTTAAGTAAGGTCTCTAATGCTATATTTGACAGATTTAAAAGAAAAAAATTTCAAAAATGTCATTTTTATTAAAGTCTATATTCAATCTAAGTCTCATCCTTTGTGGGTAATCTTGTAGGAATATAGAGACAGGAGGCTTTATGTAAACATGGAGTCATTGGCACAGCTAAACATCTTATAGGGAGGAGGGGGGGGGGGTTGTGCCCCCCCCCCTCCGCTCCCCTCCCTCTCTAGCATTTTGAAGCCTTATACAAGACAATTAGGTTTTTTTTTCCGAGGTAAGCAATCAGTATTTTAAGGTGCAGTACTAATAAGAAAGATACTATTTGAGTTTGCCAAAATATATCTATGTATATATCTATCTTAGATCTAAATTATCTATTTATCTATCTATCTTAGAACTAAATTATCTATTTATCTTCATATCTTTTTTATATATCTAATATACAGACATATGTATTTATTTATTTATTTATGTTAATTCCCCTAGCCAAGATAGATACATATTATATTGTTTTCTGTAATAGTAATATTTCATGTGTGTTGCTTTAACATACTTTTATTTTTTTTTACATTTGTTTTTTATTTCTTTGACTTAGTTGTTTCATCTGCAATTTTAGCAGTTTCAAAATTTTGCTATAATATTTTTGTTATATTTTTACATCAAGAATAAAGAAAAATATTCTCCTATAACTCAGAGTAGAGAATTTACAAATAGCCAGGAGGAGTTCAACCAGCAGCGGTTAGTTCAACTACCTTTTTCTCATTCAAAATCAACGACCTCAGATAAGTAACGCACTGTAGAAAGAAACATTTTGTTCGTTATATATAGAACTAAACGAAAACATTCCGGAAATACAAACATTTAAATAAAATCAGAATGAGAGCCATAACACGTTGGAATAGAAAGACGACTTTTAGACTCGAGTTCTGACTCATGATAGTCGATTAAACTTAGTTAAACATCGATTTTGTGCAGTGTAACCAAACCCATTTCACTTAATTTAAGATTTAACAAATTAAGAAAAAATATTTACTTCGTAACATTTTCAAATAGATATACTTAATTATTACTTTAATGTCGTCTTCCTATACAGTTTTCTGGTTCTCACTGCATGTTCAGACTCAGTGTTATGGATTTTAACATTTTTGAGATATCCATAACATTCAGTTTAGAATTTCGAAATAAATGATCGTATTTTCAAATTTTTTTATTTGTATTTCAATATTAGAAAATAAATACTCAGATACAAACCTTTGTTTTGTTTTATTGTGATGAAGATCTCTGCTACTTTGCGATCTTTTTATCCGAAACGATTTGTTTATCTGTAGAATACAAACATATTTAAAATATCTTTATCTAAGGGACTGTTCATGTTTTTTTGACGTAACCCTCCATTTCAAAAGGGGAAAAATTTAAACCAAATGTGGAGGATATCGTCGTTTTTATAAACCGAAAAATTCTTGATTCTGAAAATCTACCACTTCTGTTTCTGAAGCGAAAATGCGCAAGTTATTTTTTAAGGAAACCACTATATAAAATAAGTATAATGAAAAATAATGGATATCTTGTGGAAGACGATGCCTGGCCGCGTTAAACTAGTTCCACAGATTCAACAGAATGAGATAGAACGGATACGGGGCATAGTACTGATAGATCATCTACACGTGTGATATCGATATTGACTCTAGTTCTGAACCCTCTAGTAATAAGTTATAAGAAATATATATACTGGAAGTTATTTATGCGTTTTATTAGAGTCTGACTCACGTCCTCTATAATCTCATGGTTTCCTGTTCAGGCAAAGCTTTCATATAGGACATGTGGAGGCTCACTTGAAATTACGCCTACAATTCCAAAAAATGAAATAAGATATAAAACAATTAAAATCTCTAGTGTTGACTCATAACAGATTGGAAAACCATTCTACTGCTACATTAAATTTAGCATCAGAATACAACTAAAGGAACTGTAAGCGAAATTTCTAGTGAAACTTAATGTAAAGCTGACATTGCCCGATTAACAACGGATTGAATTAGATATCAATATTATTAAGATTTAAAACTAATCATTTTCAATTGTGGTTTCTCACCAAATGTAACTTGCTAATAAATCATTTTAAACCTGGAAAACGACAATATATCTTCCAGATTATAACTCAGTGAAAGTTTTCAAGGATATCGTTGTGAATTGGAAACTGTCACTTTAAGAAGAAAACAACATTTCGACAAATTGTAAAACCTAAAATTTTTTAATTGCTTGATCCCAAAATATCATTGGGCCTTAAACAGAAATCTGCATCAAAATGAAATGGAAATATAATTTGAAAAAAAATGTTTCAGGATTTAAAAAACAACCAATTTATCTATAAAAAAATCGTAAACTAATTAATTTTCAATACATAATGTTAATGGTTGCAAAGCCAAAACTTGATAAGAAAATGGTGTCTTGTATTCCTGGTTTAAAATCTGCGACATTGTTCCCACCCTACGGAGTCCTCGTGGGAACTCAGGGGGGAACCGTTCCTCAGGTAGATCCAGGAACCCTGAAGGAACAATGAAGAGTAAAGACCCTGATTTTTTTTATAAAACTTCCTCAGGGGTAAATTGTTAACGTTAAATATTTTCATTTTTTTGACAAATTTTATTTCATGTTTTAATAATTTTCTTTTTCGTATATTTCAAATAAAATATTTAGTCTTGCTGTAAAATTTTTATATTTAAAAATTATTTTTTATAGTACACGTTCCACATGCATAGATTTGTACCATTTTTGTTCAATAAAAGTTTAAAAGATAGTTTTTAGTAAAATTACTAAAAAATTTGAATTGGCAAATTTTGTAATTCTCAAATACTGTTCTGATAAGTTTTAATGTTTTTATTTTTGCGTTCATAAATTTAGCTTTAACAACTGAAAACTTGCCACAATCTTGAATTTTCCAATCCTGATGGTGTAAAACTTTGAAATTTCAAACTTATATTATTTGGTTTTATGAAATCCTAATTTGAAATATCAAAGGAATACGACATCAGGTCGCAAAGATATAAGATAATTTGGGTTTGTGGTGAATATTTAATTGATAATTTTTGTTTTAAAAAGTTTTGATGAGATTTGTCTTGAAAATGTAGTATGTACTTGGTGTTGTGTGTGTTTCAGAAACTAGATGACAAATAGTAGCTGTGCTCGGAATTTTAATACTCAGAAATAAAATATATATTTGAGGTTTAAACTCCGGCGTTGATGATGCTTCAAACCTCACAGAGTAAATACATGGTGTTAGTTTCACATGTGTGAAACTATATTTCGGTATGGGTTCACCCTTTTCAGTTCTAAAGATATAATAACCATCAAAATCAATATTAAAAATGTTTTAAAAACCACAAGGAAATAAACAAAAAAAACTTTGTAAAAAAACAAGAAAATTGGTTGTCAAGTGAAAAAAGGAAACTAACTCAGATTTTGATATGCAAGAAAAATAATTTGAAAATATTCCCTTATTTGAGAAAAGGGTCTTTTTCTCCTCCCTGTTTCAGATTTAAAAATTCGATGAACATTTTCCGCACTTTTGGCCGGTTTCGGGATAACTAGCACAGGGTCCAGGGGCTTTGATCTTCGTATATCCTAGATTGATGATTTTAAGTATAGGTAGAGTTTTCAGCGAAATAGAGAAATCTTTCCGCGAAAATTTCGCATTTTTCGCATTCCGTTCAAAGAAACAAAAACGGTAAATTTTGCATCTTTTCGTGAAAAATTTTACATTTTTTGCAAAATTGTCGCATGTTTTTTTCTCGCAAACTTCATTCCACAAAAGTTTACCACATTGCAAAATTGTATTCTCAATAAGTTTGATTTAAATACATTATGCGAAATTATTCTCTGATCAAAGATATTGATTAAAGCGAATTTTCAAAACGAAAAACTGAACTAATTGGTAGATATTTTTGGTTGGAATGTTTGCCACAAACTATGATTTTCTTATTCCTATACCTTTGCAACCTGATGTCTAAGACCCTTTCTAATTGAAACTATAAATTCTGTTAGATCATATAGTCTATAGTTTGAAATATCAAAGGTTTACACCATCAGGTTTTAAAGATATAGGAATCAGAAAATTTGAGTTGGTTGCAAAAACTCAATTCCTTTGTATAGCATGCAATTGTGAAATGACCGGGATTTACTTCAGATTCTTGTGTCGCCTCTTAAAAGCCTAAAAACTTAAACTAAAAAAACTAAGGTTCAAATGATGCTCATAAGATGCAAAAAGGATGAAACTTTAATGACGACAAGAAACTTTAATGACGACATGAAACTTTAATGACGACATGAAACTTTAATGACGACATGAAACTTTAATGACGACTTGAAACTTTTCAAATATGACGATCCAAAGAGTCTCAAGTTGTAGGGAATTATTATAAATATCGGGAAACAGACCAGTGCTTAGGATCCGGATCCGGAAGATTTTGGCTTCCTGGATCCGGAACTGCAAAAAAAAATTTACTTCTAAAACACAAATCTGATTTTTTGAAAAAAGAGAGATTATAAGAATTTCCTCATTTCTGAATTGTTCATCAAGTTTTAGGATAAAAATAAGTGAAAAAAGTAAAACTAAAATTTTAAAATTATTTTTTTGTTATAGAAATTAAGTAAATCTCAAAGAAAGGACCTGGATCCGGATCCAGATCGGGATCCAGATTTGGATCCGATTCCGGATCCATTTTTCCAGTGTGGATCAAGGATTCGGAACCGCATCAAAATTAAATGGATCCTAAGCACTGAAACAGACTGCAGTATAAAGGAATTGAGTCTCTGCCCCAAAACCCGATTTTCTAATACCCATATCTCTACAACCAGATGATGTAAACCTTTGATATTTCAAACTTAAATTATTTTATCAATCAGAATTCACAGTTTGAAATATCTAAAGTCTAGGACATTTGGTTGTAAAGATATAGAGATTATAACATCAGAGTTTGTGACAAAAACTCAATTCCTTTCGTAAAGTTGTCTCTGAAGTCTCACTGGGATATTGGCAATTGGAAATAATTCAAGTTGAGAACTATCCCTTAGACAAATGGGTTGGAAAATGCGCTCCCAGATTGAGAAAACAATCGTCAATTGGGAAAAATAATTTTTCGAAAATTCACAAGAGATACTTTTATACAAAAACAAAATCAAATTTTAAAAAGTTTCAAATTTTCAGAATTAAAATTTAACATAAATGTTTAATTCAGAAGAGTAAAAATTTTTATAATTTTTTTTTCTTAATTTATTCAAATAATAAAAATTTTGTTATAAAAATAAAATAATTCTTCTATTGAAAAATGTAGGATTCCTAGGTTTATAACAGGTTAGAATGTATGTAATTACTAATCATTGAATAAGCTTCATTGTAATTGATTATTACTAAGAATACATTAAATTGCTCGAAATTGATATTCTAATTACGTTATTGTGAACTTTGATTTACAGATTACCCAAGATAATCTTTTTGTGTTTACATTTTTTATTTGGGATTAAATGAATTTATTTTTAAAAGTTTGGTTTGAATATGACACATATAAGTACATTTTTTCCATTTATTTAAATGATGGAACCATCCAAAAACATTTCCTGTAATGATTTGAAATTGATAAGGAATTGAGTCTTTGCTTCAAACCAAACCATGATTTTCTAATCCCTATATCTTTACTGGCCAATGTCGTAGATATCTCAACCTAAAAGATCCAAGTTTGAAATATCAGGTTGCAAAGATATAGGGATCGGAAAATTTTGGTTTATAGCAAAGACTCAATTCCTTTAACATTACTTTTTTTTCATGGAGGGTTATTTTAAAATTAAAAAGTTTCAATTTTTGAATCTAGACTGAATCCTGACTATCCTAGATCTACTGAGAAATCGCTGACGAGCTGTGCGTCCCTCCATCTTTGAATCTGTGCGTCCTTCCATTTTTGGGTTTATGCGTCCCTCCATCTTTGAATCTGTGCGTTCCTCCAGTTTAGAGTTTATGCGTTCCTCCATCTTAGAATCTGTGCGTCCCTCCAGTTTAGAGTTTATGCGTCCCTCCACTAATGATACTTTTTAACATTTTCTTTCGGAACTTTTACTCTGATACATTTTAGCAGATCTGAAGTTTTATTTTAAGTTGTTTTCTCTCAGTTATTTAAAACATCCATTTTACAAAAGTTTTTTAAAGGAATTGAGTTTTTGAAACACACTTCGATTTATTCATTGCTTTATCTCTGCAACGCGATGTAGTAGACCTTTAAAATTTCAAAATGTCAAATGTCAATTCTGTCAGATCAAATATCAAAGGTTTAAAAATCAGGTTGGAGAGATTAAATGATAAGAAAATTTTATCTTGTGGCAAACACTCAATTTCTTGAGTCATAAATATAAATTTTAATATCAATTAAGAACACAAAACTATAATTGTTTACATTTTAGATTTTTTTATGTTAATATGTACTTTGTTTGTATTTGAATATTTTTTACTCAATAGCTTTTCAAAAAGAGGAGTTACGAATTTAAAGTGTAAGATTTCAAATAGATTCCATAATTTCTGGTATTGACTGGTTCTTTTGTGGTTTTCATCCAACTGCGTGACAATTACTTATCTGCTAGTTTTTACAAGACTTATTTGCCTGGGATCAAATAGATTATCAAGTACAATAGGTGGCAACAGAGAAATTAACCAATTATACACCACGTCACAAATGTCAAATATAACAAGGAAAACAAAATTTTCTCATATTAGTTGACATGTTTTCCAAGATTAAATAAAAAAATGTAAAAACAGAAACTAAAGAACACATAAAATTGCACTTATTTTACTGTAAGAAAAGCACTTTATTATTAAATTTTCACTATTATTAATGATTTTGTCGGACACAAAAACTGAATTGACACTTGTGACGACAGAATACAACTGTACTGAGAGTGTACAAAGTCTACGTTGCCATCTATTGTACTAGAATCTATTCGCCTGGGATACAGGGTTCTACAAAGAATGAATTTTAAATATGTTTATATTCTTCCATTTCTGTAATACTGGATTTTAACTCTTAGCCAAATCATTATTATTAACACAATTAACCAATCATCATCTTTATATTTCATTGTAATGTCTATTTGTCTGGTTGTTTGTTTGTTTTTTGTTTGACCGATCATAACTCAGGAACAAAAAAAATGGCTAAAATTCATTTCAATATTTTAAATAATTTTTTGATATTTCTTTGTGCAAATATTTGTTATTTCATAAAATCAAAATTTTATTGTGAGTTTATATTAACTTGCAAATTTTAAATTTTAAAGTTTAAATACATGATGATTGCTATCAGGTGCATTTTACCAAGGGGTAAATATTTTTCCTGAATTTCTTTCTCTCTCCCCCGGCCTCTGCCTCTACCCGTTTGAAAAAAATTTGGAGAAAAAAATTCCAGAAAAAAATGTCCCCAAAATTCTAAAGGAAACTTTTTAAAACATATTTTACATCATTTGAGAAAAAGGACCAGAAGCTATTGATTAACTGTTGCACCCCTTGAGCTAATCTCTTATCTTCATGAACTTGTATAAATTTCAAGCATCTCTTGTTATTTATAGGTTTTAAGGAAATGTCAACAAAACGTCTGGTACCCCTAGTTTGTCTGATTCCTTTTATCTAAGAAATTCAAGGGTACCGTTGTGAATCGGGCATTGCCATTTTTGCATGAGAGGCACTTGAAATTACGCCTACAGCCCCTTTAAAGGGAGTGTTCGCGAAAATTGAAAGGGGGTATAGACGTAATGCGATAAAAAAGGCGCTTTTGATCGCTACTAATCTTACTTCTATCTGTTGCGTCTATAAAGAGAAAATTGTTAAAAACTACTAATACCGAAGAACGTAGTGTCCATACAAATTCAGAAAGTTGCAACCTTCATTTTTCGCGAACACTCCCTTTAAATGGTTTATTCGCACCTTGTTATCTATTAAATTTTGTTTAGAACATAAAGGTTAATTATAAATTCAGGTATGTTTCTATATATTTACATATTCATTACATACCCTCACATTATTCAACATCATACAAGTTAAATAAACATAGAAAATATTCAAGTATTACACAATAAACATGAGTGTGGGGGGGGACAAATTGTAATGTCATAATCCCTTTGCAGCCAAATGGTGTTATTGCCTTTGATATTCAAACTAAGATTTTCAGGACTTTTTAGTGCTTTAAGATATTTGTATTGGGGCTAGGGTATCATTTAATTTAGCACACTTCTCTCAAACATTTTTTAATTTGTATCTCTTTTTTTTGGGGGGGGGGGAGTAATTTATTGAAAAAAATTGATAACACAATTTTGTCAATGATAACAGCACTGCAAACTCCGGCACATTTCAAGTACTGGGCTGAATTTTAATCAGTTAAAGCAACCTGTACAGTACAAATACAGACAAATTCATGCAAAACGAGACAGTACACCAAATGAATGATTCCCTTCTTGTGATATTTTTGTGCCAACAAAGATTTATGGATTTGGAATCATGAGAAACGCGACAAAATGTTGATAATGAATTTTGAATTTGAAAATATAATAATAAATTGGACTGAATTAAAGTTTAAAGTTAAACCCCAAGTAAACAATGCGAGTGCAGCAGCTGGAACAGACTGGGGGGCCATGCGCTGCAAGAGTAAAAAAATATTATAAAAAACTGTCTTACTTCAAAGTTTGAGAGTGTACAAAAATTAAAAAGTGGGTTTAAAATTCTTT